GACTCCCTGCTGAGCAGGGAGCCTGATGTGGGACTCGATCCCAGGACTCCAGGATCATGACCTGAGCCGAAGGCAGTCGCTTAACCAACTGAGCTACCCAGGCGCCCTGGATTCTGGTTTTTAAAAATATCCTATTTGAAATGTTACTTGTTCAGTTTGAAAGCTGGACTACAGTATTTCATTTTTTTTAAATTACAGTAATAGATTTTTTTTTAAAGATACTATTTTTAAGTAATCTCTGCACCCAATATGGGGCTCAGACTCACAACCCCGAGATCAAGAGTCGCACGCTCCACCAATTGAGTCAGCTAGACGTCCTTGGTAATAGAATTTTGTCTCAGTTTTTTTCCCTAAAAGTTTTGGAAACTTTTAGGTGCAAAAGTAATTATCAGTTGATAAACACAGTTCAACATTGATTATTTTATATTCCCTTTTTCCCTCTCTCCTAATTTGTACTCAGATATCATGAAGATGATCTTTTGGAGGACGAATATAAGATTAAAATTATGAAAACAACTTTTGATAAATTTTATTTAGTCACTATCTAGGTTGGGTGGTGTTCTAAAGATTGCGTCTGCATGCATGTCAAGAGAAAGCTATGTGCACGTAGTAACGGTATAGTCTCAGGAAGTTTTGGAAGTTAAACTTGTGGAAAGATTAGCATGTTACTTGCTATTTTTGTTTTGTTTTTGGTGTGTTGTATAATTTGTGTGTACCTTCATATTCTGCATAATTTATTAGCCATCTGACTTGTTCTGAGATTCATTTTACTGTTTTGTGTCTTCCATCTTTTTGGTGGGGAGAGGGGAGTCACTAATTTCTTTGAGTGTCTGATGATACCCTCTGCCTCCATCTGCATTTGCATGTATAGGAATTTGCACATAGTTTCAGGAGATTCCCTCATGAAACCCAAGGTAAGACCCCCTTACTATTTGGGATCTCTTGGGAATAAGGACAGAAATTGGGAAAGGAAAGTGGATTTTCACTTGTTCTTTACTTTAGGCAAACCACAGACTTTCTGAAATGGAAAGTGTGTGTGTGGTGGGTTTTTTTGTTTTGTTTTTGTTTTAATTATGTACTTCCTGGGGCGCCTGGGTGGCTCAGTCGTTGGGCGTCTGCCTTCGGCTCAGGTCACGATCTCAGGGTCCTGGGATTGAGCCCTGCATTGGGCTCCCTGCTCCTCGGGAAGCCTGCTTTTCCCTCTCCCACTCCCCCTGCTTGTGTTCCCTCTCTCACTGTCTCTCTCTCTTCAAATAAATAAAAATTAAGTAATGTACTTCCCAAGTCTGGGACAGAAACAGACATGAGTATTAGGTTGACTAAAATGATTTTAGAGTTTATGAAAAGCCCCTTATCGTTAGAGGATATTTTAGTAAATGTGCTTGACAGAATAGGGATTTAAGAGGCTGCAACCTAAATGGTGAAAAGAACACAGCAAAAAATTGATGTCCATTGTGGCTTCTTCTTTTTTATTTTTTTTTAAGGATTTATTTATTTATTTGACAGAGAAAGAGCTCGTGCCTCCAGTCAGTGGTGGGGAGGGACAAAGGGAGAGGAAAAGAGAATCTCTAGCAGACTCCCTGCTGAGTATGGAGCTTGACACTGGAGCTTGATCTCCCCACCAACCAACCAGCCGATCACCCCGTCAACGGACCAGCCACTTAACCAACTGCCCCACGCAGGCACTGCTTTAAAAATTTTATTTTTAAGTAATCTTCCCATCCAATGTGGGGCTCGAATTCACAACCCTGAGATGAAGAGTCACATGCTGTACCGACTGAGCCAGCCAGGAAGGAACTCCTAACCTAGGTCTTGAGAGCAGTGCTTGGTAAACCATTTGTGGTGTAAGATTTTTAAGAAGGTTCACTATCTCAGACTGCTTTTGTAACATTGAAGAAAAATAGTAGAAAAATGAAGTTTAAAATAGGCTTATAAAAACACAAGCCTTCGTTTTTCTTTTCTTTTTTTTTTAAATTTTATTTTATTATGGTAGTCACCATACAGTGCATCATTAGTTTTTGATGTGGTGATCCATGATTCATTGTTTTCGCATAACACCCAGCGCTCCATGCAGTACGTGCCCTCCTTAATACCCGTCACTGGGCTAACCCATCCCCCCACCCTTCATCTTTCATTATTAGGTTCAATAGATTAAAATTAACTACCAAATGCTCTAACACACACTCTCAGTCTCTCTTCTCATTTCATTACACTGCAGGAGTTGTAGACCAGGCCTTGGGCCACAGTTTGAGTAGCTTAACTTTAGAGGCAGGCTTGAAAGTGTGTGTGTGTGTGTGTGTGTGTGTGTGTGTGTATTTGTAGAGGGGAAGAGGAATACTGTAGTTATAAAATACCTAATAGCCAAGTGTGTGCATCATTCAGAAGAGACTGCTTCTTTTGAACTATGTCCCTCTACCCTAATTAAATAAGAATTTAATTATTTTTTAGAGTATTCCTAGTTGAGGAACTCACTAGAGAGGCAGAAAAAATTATGCCTTTAAATGCTTGCTTTGGGTTTTGAACATGCTTTTGTCTTAAAACTGATAAAGAGCTTGTAATTGTAGTCATTGATAGATTTTATTTACAAGTAATATTGGCCTGTTCATTTATTAGATTGCTGGATCATTACTTCTGGAGGATGTATTTGATCACAATATTGTGAAATATAGAAGCACTTTAGTTAGGATTTAATATGATTTCTTTTTTTTTTTTTTAGATTTTATTTATTTGAGAGAGAGAGAGACACAGCGGGAGAGGGAACACAAGCAGGGGGAGTGGGAGAGGGAGAAGCAGGCTTCCCGCTGAACAGGGAGCCTGATGCGGGGCTCGATCCCAGGACCCTGGGATCATGACCTGAGCCGAAGGCAGACGCTTAACGACTGAGCCACCCAGGTGCCCCAGGATTTAATATGATTTCAATTCAAAGGGGCAATAGTTTTCCACGACTATTTCTCACTCTAAAATACTGCTGCTCAACTTCATCAAATCGACACATTTCCTGCAGCATATATATTCTTATTTCTTTATGTCTGAATATATCTGTAAGCCCAGAGAAATTCTGAAAATTTGTCCTCAAATTTTTTTGAAATTGGAAATCACAGTAGGATTTTACTGTAATCTATGTGTTTTTACAAGGAACTTTGTAATGAATGACCTTGAAAGTTCTCAGAATTCATAAGGAATAGGAGTAGGAGCCTGGGCCCCAGCTGCAGTAAATTACAACCTAACAATATTGGTTGTATTCTAGACTGTAGTCAAAAATAAATAAGAGCTTCAGTGTTCATAACTTAGAGTTTTTAATACTTTCATATGTGAAGGTAAACGAAGTACTATTGAGAATATTGACTGTTACGGATTCATAGATTTACCTGGGCTAGAGAATGCTTTTCCAGGTCGTCTGCCTCATTTTGAGTGATGGCTGCCCACACTCAGAGAGCTTCACCATCAGTCAAACATGGGTGTTTAGGAGAGGGCTGCATGATTTTACTCTTAGCCTATGCTTCTGGGAGTAGGTTTGGAGGAGATATGTTTAACTGTCTTAAATAAGTTACATTGTGGCTTTTAAAATTTGGGGGATTAGTTTCTCAAGACTAATCAGATTTCACTCTCTGGCTCATTAAAGCGATCTGATCACTTTAGTTTAAATGATGCCCGTAAGTTATTGTACGTTTGACATTTCAGTTTCACTTGGAACCTTTGCAAATGCTGCTCATCCTCATTTGAGTTTTTTAGCTGATTATCCCGCAGTTGCGGTTGGCACAGTATAAATGAGAGTGTTCTTATAATTGTATTGTATTTAGTTTTGTTTTATAAACTATTTGAGTCTACTATTCAGTACAGATAACTTTTATTTTTCTTATTTCTTAGACTGCAACTGGCAACGTGGAAGCAAAAGTAGTGTGCTTTTATAGACGACGAGATATTTCCAACACGCTTATAATGCTTGCAGACAAGCATGCTAGTAAGTTGTCTTTTTTTTTAATTAAAAAATGTTTTAAGGTTTTTGGTTTCCATGATAGGAGGAAAAACACTTTTTTTGTTACCTGTAGCTTTTTGCTTTCCCATTTGTGTTCCTCTTAGTTTAGATGGGAGTAATTTTTTGGGTGGTGCTTGGTTTTAGTATATATTTTCTTAGGTTGCATCACATGTATATTAGTCAATACATTGAAATAGAATTCTATGCTTCCGCAGACAAACAGGGTAGTGTTTTACCATCTGCAGTTTTCAGTGGTGGTTTTGAAAGGCTTAAATATGAGGACATTTGTACTTTATTGGTATTTTGGAGGACATTGTTTTCCCTTCTAAAGCAACTGGGTAATATTTACATTTTAAAAAATTCTGATTATTTATTATATGTATATAGAATTAGGTATGTATGAAAAAAAGGTTTGCCAGAAAAAGAAGTGCAAAGTGATGTTTATATATGGTGAACTCCTGTAGATAGCAACTCAGCCCTTCTTTGTAGATTAACCTTTATTGTATGTTCC